CTCCGACACTATTCCTTTTACATATCAACGGCCACCTGTTCTGTACGATCAATCCAATCCACAGCTTTTGTACATCCAGAACTGGCCGTTACGACTGCTCCTTTGTCGCTAGGGTATAGAGATTATGGAATCATCTGCGAAAGGAGGCTTTACCCAGCTCTACTAACCTTGAGCAGTTCAAATATCGGATCAACAAAGTTACCCTCATAGCAGCGGTGATACCCTGGCATTTAGGCTTCTGCCTGCGCGGCTGCTCCGATGAAAAAAAATGTCACATGCACACATGTTCCCCCACTAAATACCAAGTAACATCCATATAAAGTTATAAATAGATATCCTTAGTGAGTGCTGTGTGGTCAGAGATGGCCGATATCATTATTTTTTAATATATGTGATATAACGACTTTTTGATAGCATAGAGCCAACTATCAAAGAAGATATCGCTTGCAGGTCATTGTAGTATTAGTGGATTTCACGCCTCTTTCTCAAAGAAAGACGTTCCAATACTTCCTCCAGATCATAGTGCACACCAAACAGTGACACGTTTTGGATGCATAGCTTCTCATGAATTACTCTTGGATTCTCTGTGCTCCAAATAAGACAGTTTTGTCTATTGACGAAGCGATCGAGATGAAAATGGGCCTCATCGCTAAGCATGATTTTGTCTACATGATCACTATTGGCAAATTGTTGGCCAAGGATCTAATTCCTAAACTCTCTTCGCTGTGCATGGTCTGTTGGCATAAGCTGTTGAGTCAATTGGATTTTGTAGGCATGCAAGTGTAAATATTTCGTTAGAATACGCTGGAGAGTGACTGTTTTAATGTCCAATTCTTGAGCGCTATGACAAATTGACGTCTCTGGACTCTCGGCTACATTTTCGCGAACTGCTCTGACATTTTCTTCTGAACGGCCGCTGCGAGCTCGTCTCGTATGTTTCACATCATTAACAGAACCAGTACTTTCAAAATTTTGGATTATTCTTTTCACAGTAGATAGGGTAGAAACAATATTCCGACCATTCGGTCGGAATAATGTTTGCAGCTGATATTCATTAGCTGCATTTTTCGAATCGTGGCAATTAAACTTTCACCACTTTGATAATAATTTTTGTGTAATGATTTATTTTCATTACCTCCCGCCTGTCTACTATCGATCTGTCATGTCACAATCATTATGACATTATGACTGCCAAAGTGGCGCTAAATTCAAATATTGCGTACCTATTGATACACCCTTTATATGGGGACCAACTTATTCAACCAACCAAAAGTGAACACTTGAATCGGATGTTTGCTCGCTATGGTATTCGCTAGGTGCGCATGAATAGCACCACCTAGCCGTCGAATTGAAATATTTCTGCTTGACACAATATAAAAATGAAAGGATGTCAATGAAAATAACTGACATTTAGTCAATTAGACGTTAGGAAAAAATCGTATTTCAAACTGGTAATTCTATTTTGATCTAACAAAGGATGGGAGCGAAATCTTTTCATAATTGCAGGGTTCAGTTGATCCCAATAACACAAATATAAATAGAGAGATCACGCCTGTATGTCACTATCAGGCCGATGATGTTGCCCTTTTGGTCCACCACGTGCGATTGGCATAGTACCCACCACCCCCATATGCACTACGCTATTGGTAAATAACTTAAATTCTAGATGAAATGAGGAGGACTGTTATCAAACACTTTGAAAGAGCGTGACGTGATCACGACTTCAGGAGCGATAACTCACCAATTTGGAATTGTATCATGGGATCAACGGACTTAACCTTTGAGTGAGAGCCGCTAAGGTCGATAATCGTATTCCACCGTAACAGTGAATTAGAAGTCATGGCTCTTAATGACATATGGTTTCAGCAAAATGGTGCCACATGCCATACTGCTTATGAGACATTGGTAGTTTTGCACGAGTTTGCTCTTGGTCGAGTCATACCTCAGATTATCTGAACTCACAAGTTTATGCCAACAAGCCTGCAACCACCGAAGCATTGAAAGCTAAAATCAGGCACTGTATCAACGAGATACCACGACATGTGTTCAAAAATGTTACCACAAATTTTGTTAAAAGAGTGCGCATGTGCCAGCGGAGCCGTGGCAGCCATTTACCTGATGTGTTGTGCCATACATAATTCCAAAGTGTATACACCATAATCCAATAAATATTTGTTTGTTACGAAATATTATGTTTAATAGAACCTTGAAATATTTCGTTCTTAACGTTTTGTTGATTTATTATTAATAGCTCTGGTACAAGATCATAAACAGTCATATTTTTGCCTGCCCTCCTTTCGTGTATCTAGTATATCCAGTATAATGACTGAGCAATATAACTGCTACATAACTCCCTTCTCGCGTGTTGTGGGATAAAACTGATCTTCAATTTGTTACCCCACGAACGAGAGTTGTATAATTTATTGAGATAGACATGCGGTGATCGATGCATGGCAATGAATTATTGCAAGAAGTTGCCGCTATTTCACGACCGGACACATCACCTACATAATGGATAGTAGAAACGACGATACGCTACGAGGCAGGGTTAGATAACACCGTTTTAATCGCACAGAAATAGCGGCGCGAGACTATGCAGGGTGTCCCAATATTCCTTGGACATAGAAGTACGTATAATACCACGTATTTTTAGACCCGAAATAAGTCGATTGGGCATGATTTACGTATATGCAAAAGTGCTTTATTGGTCCGTTAGAGGACATCAAAGTTTTCTTTTTGAATAACATTTTTTCAGATATTTTTGGAACCGATAGTATGATTTGAATGAAATTGGGAAATTATATTAGACTTTTACGAAATACCCGAAAGGGCCCAAGAAGGGTGAAAACTACCCCCACCCCTACATTTATTATAGCAGAGTTCTTTCGCAACTCTTCCAACGACTCTAATTTTGTTTAAATATTCACTTATTTTTCTTGTTCCTTATAAAAACAGATTATCTTTTTTTTTCGAGAAAAAAATGTTTTTCGTAGCTGGCTTCTCATTATATCAAGTGATGAAACTTGTATTGTTATGTTCAGGAACGAAAATGGTGGTCATACTGAACGCTTTTTATGAAATATTGCCTGTATTGAATAAAATTGTAATAAGCAATCCCTAACTTATTTTCGCTAACCACACTTAAAAAATTAATAAGACGCTTGGAAAGATCTTTATTCAACTTTTTTTTCTCGAAAACTATCGTAAAAAACGTATTTTTAAAAGAAAACGTTGACACCCTCTAACGGACAAACGAAACACTTTTGCATAGTAGTAAATCATGTCCAAAGGACTTATTCACAATTACTGATGAAAAAATCCTTACAAACCAAACCAAACTGATATAAAAAATGGAGTTCAAGAAACATCCGACAACTACTAAAACGTTGAACTATACACTACGCTGGCTCAAAAAATGGTGTCAAGTAGGTTGACTTTGTACTTCGCATGCTATCATGTCAACAATTAGATTATGTTTGGTTTATTTGCAGACCAAATGCCAGTTTGAGCAATTTTTGGCCTCCGTTATCGACAGTCTTCGCTAAAATTTGTACACCGGCAATTTCCAATACCAGAAAACGTTGAAGTCTATTTGGCACATAAGAGTTCAAATCAGTTCGCCTCGAGCAGATCAATCATAATGCGCATCAGAACTCAAACTAGGCGCAAAAAAAGGGTGGCACACCCTTACAGCAATATCCGAGTTGTACATATTATTTTAATTTACGGTTAGTGTCTTCGAAATGCTACCGAGGCTTCAAGAGTGCATGCAGGTCGTTTTTCAATATCCTTCATTGTTTCTTTTGTCTAACTCGAAATGAGAATATATCTAATATAATAAATAATAATATAGAATATAAAACTTGGACACGGTTGACAAATTACGCGTGCGAATTTAGCGATCTGCTTCATTCATTCGGGAAAGATAGTCCATTCTGAAAGCCTACACTGATGCTTGGCTACGTCGAACACATTCATGTGTCTTTAAATGTATCACAGACAACTTTGAAAAGTACTTACAAGTAATAGAGCTGTTCTTGAAATTTATTTTTTATGAACGGTGGGTATTTTTTATATTTTTTTTTCACTCTTTCGCTGTTGTTTCATCACACATTAGATTTTTTATTACAAATGTAGTTATTTCTGAAAAGGAAAGTCCCAACTTTCAGGACACCCTGTATAGAAACTGTGGTGCAAACATGAACATTTCGGCTCTGTGCCTACGGCCTGACCGTTGAGATTACGTTCCCTATCTACAGCTCCGGAGTCAGTATGTGTGCGTCTCTAGTCCCCCTTACCTTCGTCCTCCTCCCCTTTCTGTACGCCCATGCTCCTTGGAGCGATGCGCGCGCTGGCTAGTGGCGAGCGATTCCCCGCTCGCCCTTCAGTACGCTTTTATCTATCGCACGGATAGGGTGTGTGCGTGTGCGTATGTGTAACATCGCGAGTTAAACGTTGTGTAACGTTCGAGAGAATAATAGTATAAATGCAAAGGTAAGAGACAAAAACCTTAGTTTGACAATTTAGTGTAGATGGCTACCATTTGATATAAAATTGTCACGGTCTCGGATCACTCGGTCCAGACGTGAGACTCCCTTCTAATGCATCTTGGGCAAATTCGCTAGAGCATAATATGGGCACTTGTGTGCAAGCGCACAATGCCCATTCATAGGAAAATTGAAGGGAGTCCTGCAGCCGGATCCATCTACACAATGTTTCGCCCCGACCGGCCCGTCAAGTCGGCCCGACCAGCTGCAGACTTCGGCCCGACCGGCTGCAGACTTCGGCCCGACCGGCTGCAGACTTCGGCCCGACCGGCCGCTAAATTCGGCCCGACCGGCTGCGAATTTTGGCCCGACCGGCCGCTACGTTCGGTCCGACCGGCTGCAAATTTTGGCCCGACCGGCTGCAGAATTTGGCCCGAACGGCTGCAGATTTCGGCCCGACCGGCTGCATTTTTGGCCCGACCGACTAACTAATTATAGCACATCTGCTTCCAGATGGCGATGGCAACCAATTTTGTTACTCTGGGTGAACTCTGGTCCAGCCACGTTGAAATGGAGGAAGAAGATGAAGCGATATTTTCCAGAATCAAGGTCTTAATAGAGAACCATCTGCCAGACGGCTGGAGAGACTGGAAGGTGATTGACTGGAAGAAAGAAGATCTATTTGGGAAAAAGATAGACCACAAAGTATTGAACAAAATTCGCTTCGCCCTCCCCACATTGGAACTGGTGAAAGCGTTCTACCCAGAAGCAACATCGGTGGGAGAGAAAACCTACCGAAATATAAAATTGAGGCTTCTCGACTGGAACCTCTGTAGAGCATTGATCATGAGCCCACGGCAGGTAGCGTGTCAGTTACGAGGATCTATGGCTCAAGCGGAGCTCTTTAATAAGGCGGTGGAACCACTTAAACATACTATGCGTTCCAGAGAGCTGACGTCGGAGGTCTAATTATACGTCCCGAAGTAAAAGGAGACGGTGTCAATCGTCCAGCTCAGACGACGAGTACCCGGTCAGAACCGAGAAACCAATGAAGAGGAGGCGGCGAGTATTGTCTTCGAGCTCGGAGGAGGATGTCAATGAGACAAGGCTACGCCGCGTGGAAAGCATGGTCGAGAATCTTTACCACTTGGTCTCAGGAAATAAAGAGAACGATGGCAGCGTTATGAATTCGACGTGGCAAGCTCCAACTCCTACAGGTGAAGAGCTGTATGACGCCGACAGTATTGGCACATGTGGCAGCGTAAACGACTGGGACACGTTTTCCCCTGTCACTAGGGAAATCGAGCCTACAGTCCCTAGGGCGGACCCAGTAATCGAGACACAGGGCATGAAATGCCAGCGTTTCGGGGAAGAGACATGGAACAAGATTCGTTACGTGGACGCTCAGAAAAAACTCCACGCATCACCAGTCTTCAGTACTCTGAAGGTTAACTCATCCTTGTACAACAATGGACATGCAAGCCCAATGACAGATATGTTATCCAAAAGTGACCTGGCCTTCGGGACTATCTCACACGGTCTACTGAAGCAACGGAGAATCATACATGAGGCTCTGAAGGAGGCGGGGAACAAACACCCGGAAGCGGCAGACACTTTGAAAAAAAGTTTTTGCTGCTAACAGTGAATACAAGACCATCTCGGACGACCTGCTGCAGTTCGTTTGCGGAAAAAGGGCGGAAATCATCGAAAGTCGCAGGAAACTATACGAGCCTAAAAGTAGTTACTATAGGTCCATCGTCAATGAGATTCCTCCGTCAGGTACGCACTTGTGGGATGAAGAGCAGCTGAAAGATGTGGTTAAAATGCATGGAGTGACGAAAATTGCTCCTGTCCGCTGGCAGAGTAATTTGGGAAAAGTCGCACTGAGACAGAAGGTGCCTCAAGGAACTTCTCATGAAAAGTATCTGCGTCAAGGTTCATTTAAAAAAATGAAGAAGGCAGAGTTTAAGCATTCGCGTAAGCCGGGGGCGAAAAGTCATACCAAGCTAGCTCGTAAGGAGCAACCACCTTTAGATAAAAGGCGGAGTTTTTGACAGTTTTCAGGCAGGACAACTCGCCAAATATGTCTCTGCTTGGAAAAGTATGGGAGCCTCACAATCGATTCTCAGTATCCTGAAAGGCTACGTGATCCCTTTCTCAATAAAGCCACCAATAACAGTACTATCCCAACCGATACTAAACAAATTCGAGACACCAGCATCCACACAAATGGATCGAGAAATACAAAACCTCATAAATCAAAAGGTGGTAGTAAAACTGCAAACAAAAACAGGTTTCTTATCAAAGATGTTTTTGACGCCGAAATCGGGGGGCTTGTGGAGACCAGTGTTCAATCTAAAAAGATTGAACAGCTTCATCACGCCCAAGAAGTTCCGCCTTATGAACCATCGCAAACTGCCATTATTTCTCCAGGAAAGAGATTATATGGTAAAAGTCGACCTTTCTCAAGCATATTTCCATTTGCCAATAAAGCAAAAGCATTGGCGTTATCTGGGACTTTATTACCGGCAAAACATCTACGCTATGACAGCACTACCATTTGGCCTAAGCTCCGCTCCACAGGTGTTTGCAAAAGTTACGAACTGGGTGGCGAGCTACTTGAGGAAACAAAACATTCGAGTAATGGTCTATTTGGACGATTTTTTGATCGCAAACCAGAATCCAGAAGAACTAAAGCGAGAGGTATCCACCCTGATAGATACTCTCATAAAGCTGGGTTTCTGCATCAACCTGGAGAAGTCCGAAATAAGACCTACACAGAAATTGGCATATCTAGGTATTATGTGGAACACCATAAGAAATCAAAAGAGTTTACCGGAGGACAAAATCCACCGTCTGCAAACATCAATCCAAGCTGGAATCAAGAGCAAGACTTGGAGCTGGAAGCAGGTAAAGGCACTGCTAGGGAGAATGGAATTTTCCTCGTTTGTTATCCCATTGGGTCGACTACATTGCAGAAAGATACAAAGAGCAGTCAATCGGATGTCAGAAAACCAACCAAAGAAACTGTTCAATATAGACCTGGACGTATTGCGAGAGCTAAGATGGTGGGAGAAAAACTTAAAAGGGTCATCCATAATCTGCATGAAAGAACCGGAAGTTCATATAATAACCGATGCCTCAAACACGGGCTGGGGAGCCCAAGTAGGAGACACTTTGAGGAAAGGAAACTGGACAGAGCAGCAGGAAAAGTGGCATATCAACAAAAAAGAAATGTTCGTGATCTACTTAGCGCTAAGAAACCACCTAGATCGATTGGCAAACAAAACACTGTTAATTCAGACGGACAACAGGACGGTGGTTTCCTACTTGAGAAATCAAGGAGGAACCAAGTCGGTCACGCTTTTGGCATTGACCAGGAAGATCCTGGAGCTGGCACATCAATACAGTATGTCTCTGAGAATAGAACATATTCCAGGAAACTACAATATTGTGACCGACCACCTATCCAGAGGAAGGGATCTGCCAGACTGGCACTTATCAAGGATAGCTCAGAAGAGGATCTTCGAAAAGTGGGGAACCCCTTGCATCGACCTATTTGCGACTCCAGAATCAGCCGTCGTTACAAGATTTGTAACGCAATTCCCATGCAAGGAGGCAGAATTCGTCAACGCATTTACAAGAACGTGGGAGTACAAGCTAGCGTGGATATTCCCTCCTCCACCCCTAATACCAAGAGTTCTCCAACACCTCAACTATTGTCAGGGAGTTTTCATAATGATAGTCCCCAGGTGGGAAAGGGTGTTCTGGCGGCCCCTGCTGAAGAGACGTGCCATCGACCACCCGTTCACCATTCGGAATCTGAAGGCTCACCTGGAAGATCTTCAAACCAACCAGCCTCCTCCAAAGGTAATGGATTTACACCTGGAGGCATGGAAGATACGGGGTGGTCCGATATAGCGAATCACTGGTCAAAGGATGAAAGGAGAATCTTAGAAACATCCTGGCGCAAGTCAACTCTCAAAACGTATGCCGTTGCATGGAAAAGTTGGCAATCGTGGGCGAAGAAAAGAAGAGTTTCAGTTAAAAATCCAAACCCCACGCAGGTGGCTCAATACCTCTGCTTCCTACACAACACAAGAAAATTGGCGCTTAGAACGATCCTATTACATAAATCCTCAAAAATCGAGAATGCATCTGGGATCTAGTACACTGGACAACCATATATCTAGAAATATCAGAAAAGAGAAGGAACCTCCACTGTCGACCGATTCCTCAACTATTCGTCACAACTCGTGGGAAGATAGGACCGGCATCTCGGTCAGTGATAGCAGGATGGGTCCGCACAGCGTTGAAATCGGCAGGTATAGAAGGAGGAGCCGGCAGTACCCGCTCGGCAGTGGCAACATCCCGCTTCAATGATAACATGCCATTGGATGAGGTTTTGCAGAAAGGAAATTGGCAGGGATCAAGCAATTTCTTCAAACACTACTATAAAAATATCGATAAGGATTTGGTACCTGACAACAGCAACAGAAGACTTATTTCGGATAAATTTGTCCCTATATAAGTATTATCATGGCTGTGAGCCAAGAATGACTGTTACTTTTCTTTTTATGAACTGTTAGAGTTATCATATTCTGTTTATGTCCTTGTATTGTTGATATTTTCTGTAGGGAAAATATAGAAAGTTCAGTATGGTTTAGTGTACCTTTTTTTTTTTTTTTTTTCTGGTCTTCATACTATAACCATGTCACAGTACGCTTTCTAACACCGTGGCGCGCCGGCAGATTGTAAACACTTCTCAACGGTCAGGCCGTAGGCACAGAGCCGAAATAGAACAATTTTCCCCCTGAAGGGAAGAAAATTGATATTTCGGGTCTTGCCATAGGCCTGACCTAGGTAACGCCTTGCCGGCGCAAGAGTACTGAAGGGCGAGCGGGGAATCGCTCGCCACTAGCCAGCGCGCGCATCGCTCCAAGGAGCATGGGCGTACAGAAAGGGGATTAGGACGAAGGTAAGGGGGACTAGAGACGCACACATACTGACTCCGGAGCTGTAGATAGGGAACGTAATCTCAACGGTCAGGCCTATGGCAAGACCCGAAATATCAATTTTCTTCCCTTCAGGGGGAAAATTGTTCTATTACTTTTTTATCGTATTCAACCAGGTGGAATACGAAAATCAATGATTTTATTGAAAGTTATCAGCATGGTCAACGAGAAACTTCCTCAATTTATTGCAGACACCCTTGTGTAGGGACTATTGTGCCCGTTAAAAATTTCGATTCCAAGATATTAGGCTTTTTTAGATGGCAACGCGCTACAGTTCTGAAAATCGGAGCACTCGCGTTAAATTAGCGACATACGAAGATAGCAGCAGACTTCGTTGTGTGTCTTAAGTGATTGTGACCATTTTAATTACGCCATATTTCCAAAAATTGTGTTTTGGTTGTAAACACTTGTCTTGACTTTTACACATAGCTTTTGAATCTCCTTTGGCATCATCTATTTCTTGTTGATAATATACTTGCTTTTGTTGTCTTATTAATTGAACAACTTTATTTCTTTGTTGTCGAAAGCTCACCCCATGTTCTTCCTGTTGTGTTATCATAGCCCTTGTATTGCCTATCCCTTTCTAAAATATTGTCATGTACATCTGGTGACCACCATCTTTTGTTGCCCCAACTAAGTACAATATAAAAAACAAAATTTGTTTACCTTCAGAAAGGAATAAATGGAGCTTTAAAAATCAGAAATCGGTGAATCGGTGACCGGTTACGAAGATATGTTGAATAACCGTTTTACAACTTGGTGACCCCTTTTAAATATGGCAGTAAAACGACCACCCCATTTTTCATACTCCTGTAGGTGCGTATTCAAACTGAGAGCAGAATTAAGAGCACCATGACCTTAGTGGCGCATTCAAGCAGAGAGTAAATTTAAAAGCATTCGTAAATTAATAATGCCCTGCATTCAAAATGAGGGCACGTAAAGAACATCAGTAACCAGATTCAAGATCTCACTGATGGTTGATGCTCATAGTTAAAAATCGCATGCAGTAACAGGTACACGGCAATCAACACTTTAAGGCAGGCATATGCCTATTGGTGTAAAAAGAAAAGCACATCGTAAAGAATAAAGATGCTCTAATACCCTAAGTATTACCACTAAGAAGTCTTTCTTTGAAAAAAACCTCCACCATGAAGTCTGTGAGAATACTGCAGGACGCTGACAAGAATCGGCATTACTTTATACTACTTTCTTTAAATAAGACAACTCAATGAAAGTACGATTATTACCGGTATTCTGCTGGAGCTGGTCACCCATATCCAGGAATCACCACCAGGTGCAGCTCCTTTGTTTCCCGTTTTCTTGATTATTTCTTCGTCCTTCTCTTCCAAATTGCCTCGAATCTTTGGGTTAAAGAACTCGACCTGAAAATGCATATCAATATTTGAAACAGAAAAGTAAAGAAGAAAAAACAGAGACCTCATAAATAACCTTAAAATAAGTTGTTGCACCTAAAAAGTAATTTTTGGGGAAGCAGTGGCCAACAATTCGAGAGAGCAAAAACAAAAATTGAACATTACTATTCTTGACTACTTTTGAAATAATACCCCTATACAAGTATGAACGCGCAAGAAACGCTGTAGATTTGCTCGTTTGTACTTTGCGCAGCTTAAAAAGATTTTAACTAACAGTAGGTTAAGTCATTTGGTTAATTTTCAGTTATTCTTAAACATTTTTGTCTTAAAATTGATTCCCATGGCCCTCCGGTGTTAAGTCATTTGGTTAATTTACAGTTATTCTTGAACATGTTTGTCTTAAAATTGATTCCGCTACCCGTGTCCATTAAATGGTATAATTAACCGTTTGGATAGTCTATAGGTATACTAGTAAATAAATAAATAAGAATCATGACTATATCGTCCAACATATAAAAATCTTTCGTCCCTGGCATTGTGTACCGATCTCCCTGTTGTGTTACATTCAGTAATAGTTTGATTTTTTGAATATTCGAAACTCGCCGCAATGGTATAGTGTAAGTTATAAACAAATCACTCTGAATAAACCGAAGATAACATGCCATAGTGTTATTTCGACTGGATCGCTAGATTATTAATGATTTTATCTAGCACCGTGCGGGAAACTGTAAAGTGTACTTGATGTACTCTAAGCCCTTCTTTTCAGTCCAGAGACTTATTCGTGTCATAAAGCGGTAGAGTAACATCAGTACCCACTATCGTTAAATTGACCTATAATCATCACCTATAAAAACTTCCATATTTAGTTGTTGGTACAAAAATGCTTTAACAACTGCTACGCGATGATATACAGGGTGCTACAACATAACTTCATTTTTCCTTCCTATTTGTTTTTTATAATGTAAGTGTTTGGTGTATGCCTAAAGTTTTGTTTGACATAGTTTTGAAGATTAAATCAGACACTGAGTAAACCGATTTCTGGCGTTTTTCATTACGCTTGCCAGCAAAGCAGGCGTTATGTTGGCAATATTACATAATCACAGGATCTTAGAAGACCCCGTAGAAAAAATACAGGGGGGGTAAATCGGGAGAGCGCTCCGGCAACTCCAAATCTCCACTAATTGAAATGAGGCTCTCTAGGAAGTGTTCCCTCAAATCAGCCATCGATGCTCTTCTTGAAGTGAGTGCCATTGCATCTTCTTGTTGGAACCAAACATCCCCTAAGTGTACCTAATCTAGCCGTGGAAAAAACTGAACTATGTCAGGACAAAACTTTATAGTCCTGCCTCTCGAACAAGACTACTAGCGCTCCGCTACGACATTATCCGACTGAATGGCGCACTATTTAAAAAAGGTAGTCATGCTGCCGCACCCTGTAGTAAGGTATATGTATATATTTTCGGAGTAAAGCGTCTTTATGAAAATCCGAAAGTGGCAAACATTCTCAAAATAGTTCAGATAACTGCTTTCTGGTCCATGTCTAGTAAACATGCTGTATAAACGTTGGACTCCTTTAACTAGTTACTAACCTGAGGTTCCTCAGCCTGATCAGTCAAATAATTCGCCTCGACCCTAGCCTTCAAACTTCTCTTCGGTCTCGATTCAAAGTCGCACAACACTTTCCGCAATTCGTTCCGGAAATCATCGTTTCGAAGTTCGTTGAGGAAGAACTGGTTGAACGTGTGTCTTTCCAAGTAATCCACGCGGATTTCCGAGTTGATCAATCGGTACACGTAATGAGCAAGGAAGATCTCAGTAAGAAAAATGAAGAGAACGCAACATACGACGCGCACTGTGTAGCTGGGATTGATTTGGTGGATGGGGAGAGTCTCGTGGCGATCAGCGGGTGCATCTTCTGTTGTTTTAGACTCGGTTACAGTCATTTTCACTTTAGGAGAATTACGAACTGCTAATGACATTAATTTTTTTTATAGTCGCGAGGATCATTATAAAGACACTAAAAAAATGCAGACTGGGTAATCAGTATTTTCCACACAGGGTTATTGCTTCTTCTGGTTTTCCAAATCACGGCGCCAATTTTGGTTAGAATGTTTTATACACATACATTCCATAAAAATACATCAACTTGTTACTAAATGTTTGCTGTATTATAATCAAAAGCACAACATAGATACACATGTAATCATAACGTGTAGGGTATCTAATATAGTGAAATTCGGCGAAATGGAAATTTCAAAGCGCGATATCTCAGAAGAAGATATTTAAGCAAACTACATGGCATTTGAGAGGGCAAAACTTGTATGATGAGATGGTATCCATCATTTAAAAAACCACCCTACATAATCTGAAATATAGGCAAAAGTCGCTATTTCGGAAACTGGAGGCAATTGAGAAATTTGATTCACGGATTCGGATTCAGCACACCAAAAACATTTGAGTAACTATACTCTGGTTTCTGGGTAAGTGGGTCAGACGTTGAAGGTAAAAATGAATTTGTTTAGATTCATATAATTTCAGGGTGACTAGAGTTCCTAAATGAGATCCATTTAAATAGGAACTTCTCATCAAATGCTTAAGATGCTGAAAATCATTGCAAGAATACCACAGCATTAGTTTAATAAGTGTCATACTTTTCACAGGATGCTTTGCATTATTCAGTGAAAACGTACATTATTGACGTCATTTTTTCGGCTAACTAGACCAGACCATTACGTCCGACTCATTACCAGTAACCAGTAATGACAACGCTTGTGGTGACTGGACCGCCAGGCCAGCGAATTGTCAGGGTGGTGGTTAGCGCCTGCTTCCTTACCGGCACACATATATCTCGCATCGGAAATATTTTTATCATTCTACCCGCAATCGTACGGGAAAATGTATGTGGAAATATGTCCAATGCCAATCAATTGACATATACCTTCCCCCATTCCTGCCGCTCTGTTACCTCCAATTATTCGACCCTCAAAAGATTCCAAAAATGTTCAGGAGTCTCTGAAACGTTTAAAAACAAGTTTGAGCCATTTTCTCCGGTTTTTTTTGCCCGTACCAATAACCACAAAGCTTTTTTGTCCTTGGCATAGTGAAGCCTTGGCATAGTGAAGGGTGGGCCATCCCTTTGTTCCTTTTTTAAATTGGTATTAAAACTACGCTCTTCAATACTCGATACTTTATTCAAAAGAATACACCTTCCGATTATTTATGAAAAACAATTTCAGTTAAATGACTGACTACTGGCCTGGCAGTAGTCCATCCTCTTAACCCAATTTTGAAGCACATTTTCGATAGTTTATGGGTCTTTTTCATCAACAGTTCGACGGATATTTTCCTTAAGAACATCAGTTATTTGAGGATCGTTAGTGTAATAGCGGTCCTTAACAGTACTTCATAGGAAGTAATCCTTGCAGAAGTTGTACCTTGTAAGGAAATAATCCCAGGTTGTTATGCAATATTCTTCGCACAGAAGTGCGACTGATGCCTACTTGTTGTGCTCTGTGAAGAGTTGACATTCTTGCGTTGTCACGCACACTCTGGGCAACAGCAGCAATGTTTTCGGCTGCACGTATGGGTCGAACACACTCATACCGTCTGTTATCCACAAGCAGGCCAGTTTCACGAACCTTCTTCAATTTCTCAATTTTCGCAAAGTTTCTGCAACGCAGCACTTACTTTGAAAATAGTTTTTCAATACTTCTCACCTTTGTTTAAGATTAAAACGATCCATTGCTCACAGCGGAAGTTTGATACAATATATTTGTCAATATGTTGAGCATGGAAGTGTTACCAACTGTCGAAATAATACCAACATAAAAAACCAACTGATTTCCCACCCTTAAGTAACCTTGTGTGAAAATTTAAACCAAATCCAAGTGGCACTTTCCAATTTATAGACGGGCCAAGGATTAGCGGACAGACCGACAGACAGGCAGACGGAAATGAGTGACATGGTTTTTCGTGATGTATATGTTATATAACATCCAAAAAACATAATATCCCATTTTCAATATTTGTCACCCTTACAATACTTTCTCGTCAATGGCCTGGGAAGTTAAAGAAAAATGTTGATGAAGGTTTCAAATAAACAGGATGTTCCCTAATTGAATATCAATATTTGATGTAGATTTTTTGGTCTATTTTAAGAAAAAAACATATGATATGATTACAGCTATACTCAGTGACATTAGAAGTGTTACACCCAGAAAAAAATAATTTCTTCAACTTGTTTTTTTGGCAATGAGGTAGTATTGGATCAAGAATGAAACGATAACATTCTCACGAAATTTTGACAGTAAGAAAAAAATTAATAATGTGTTGGGCGACCCCGCAGCTGAATACTCTCCTGTATACGTCTACGCATCGACAAACTGAGATGGTCGATGTCTGGCTGTGGCAGAGTCTGTGCCGGGTGGTGCGAAGTGGATAGTTTCCTCCCCATCATATCCCACACATGTTCGATGGGACTTAAATCCAGTCACGGCAAAACATTAACGCCTGCTTCTTGAAGAAAGTCCGTAGTACGACGAGCAATATGGGTTCGTGCGTTGTCTTGCTGAAAAAGAACGTGTGGACGGTACTCTAGATACGGCAGTAAAGTGGTTCGCAGGACATCATCAACATAACGCGCAGTAGTCATATTGCCTTGAACAAAGAGAAGGGGTGATCTCAGCAGCAAATCCAATATCACGCCATTCTCCATGGCGGCGTCTCACCTTTCTACGACCATCGTGCGTACCTAGACAGAATCGCGACTCGTTGCTGAAGATGACATTATGCCAATCTGCCTCCCAATGTTGCCGTTCTCTGTTCCAGTTCAAACGTTGACGACAGTGGTCCGCAGTCAGAGGAAGCACTAACCGTAATCTTGACGCTCTTTGGACGCCTCGGTGGACCAATTGACCTTCTTCGTGTTCCTCTACCTTGTTCTATTCACACACGTCACACACGCATTACCGTCATTACAGTAAAATTAACACGGCACCCAATTTCGCGATAGGACAAATGAACATCTTGATAGGCAGTAATTCTACTCCTGTCAAAGGCGCTAACATGGTGATAATTTGAACGTCTTCGAAGTTAAGGCATTTTATTATGCTTAATACTAGTAAATGAAAGGGCAATAACTAAAAATATCCGTACTAATCAGCTCTCGTAAACTGCTTCCTTCACAAAAACTAAGAGATAACATTTGAACAAATGCAAACAAAGATCAAACGTTGACATTGTTGTCACAGCATGCTTTAAATGTATTTATGTTGCGAAAAAAACAAGTTGAAGAAATTATTTTTTCTGGGTGTAACACTTCTAATGTTACTGAGTATATTTTAATGAAATTTGGCAGACATGTACTATGTATAAAGAGGCATTTTTTAATGTATTACATTTTTTAATTCCAACCCATGGCGTTCGGACTGAATTTCGCCTGTCTATTTTGGCAGGCATTGATGACACGCCACTGATTTCTCGTAAAATAAAAGTCATTCTTGTAATTTCTAGTCATCTCCAAGCAAATTTGATCGCTTGATTTTTTCAATACGATGCTAAGTTTTCGTTTAATAGAATTAAAACCGTTTCTCTGCATGATTATAACAATATCGTTAATATGACAATATCACTATGCAGAAAAATAGCTTTCATTTTTTAGGTGAAAACCGTGCATCGGACTAAAAATCAAGTCATCAAACATGCTGATAAATGAATACAGATGTAATTTCTTTATTTTAAGAACAGTTAGTGGCATGCCACTAGATTGAAGACTTTACCACCCTGTATCTCAGAAGATAAGCCGTTTAGGATATACGTTCATATGAAGCTTTCTTCTTAAAATGGACTCAAAAATCACCCTCTTAAACACGGACATTCATTTTGGTACACTCTGTATTTAATATTATTTCAGTTATTTCCAGTGCCGAAAAAACCCGCTCCTAGACCTTTATCCTTTCACATCATTTAATTAAACTAGCTGGCTTCTGCCGAATGTCATTCTTCACGTTATTAAAATTCTAAATACAATTCAGCTTTATTTTCCAAAAGTGCATTCAACGAACTCATGTATCTAAAAATTTTAATTTTCCTTTTCCTGTACAATAACTGAAAATACAAAGTTGACCTCCATATTGTATCAAGCATCATAGGAAAAGGCAATAGGTATGTAAACAATCTATAACCTGAAGTCAGGCAGCATCGTAAACAACCGTTTTCCAAACCATAATTTTGTATGTATTTGGTTTGGCAAAAAAGTAATTGGAAAATCAATTTCAAAAGTGAAAAGAAAAATAAGTGTAGTCGTCTCGCCATTTTTTGTCTTCGGAAAGCATATTGACATCTCATTTTTTAGATTAATTTCAAGTGATATGCAAGATTCACAGCGCTAATATACTCGAGCCTCTTTGGAAATATTTATGACCACAATACAACTTATTTGTTTTTCTAAGCAAATAAGTACACGAATTATAATGAGGTCTAATTTTCATACATATGTAATCTTTACAAAACAATGTCCTCGGATGCTGTCTTTATGCAAAATTCATCCACAACATAGGATTTTACCACTATTTCATTATGCAAAATAATATATTCATGACTCATGAAGAGCGATGTACAACCATACCCTATACAAAGTATCTCGAATATAAAGTAGAAGATACTTTTAAAATAAATATTTCATATACCAGATACAAAATCCCAATCTATTAAATGCTTTTAACGATGAAATAGTTTGGTAAGAAACGACATTTCATTGAATATATTTTACTACGTAAAATATTTAGGTGTAGATCACAAAATATCAAGTAAGGTTTAGTTTAGAACCAGTTCTCCAAACATTTTATCACTCATTTTCTTCGATGCCTTATTATCATACTTCCAAAAGTAAAGAGTCGCTCCACATGGGCAGAATTTGGCGAACATGTTTTACATTTGTAGGATAAGCAGTTATTTTACATATTCTTGGCCGGAGACTCAAGAGCACATTATGTGAAGAAATGCATTGGCAACCGTACTCAGGTACCAAGCGAAAAGTATCTAAATATATATTGGCACAAATATGTGAAACATTAAGGTAATATTCGTATAACCCCATCGTATAGGTATTCTTTGCCATTATATATACTAAAAATAGTAGAAATGCCGCACTCGTACCTATATTAGATTTTTCCATATGGATTCAAGCACTCTAGAATACTTCAAAATGAGTATTTTGTAACATGGCTTGTTTTGCGTCCAAGGAGCAACATTATTAAAAATTAAATAGATGTTTTACATCATCTGCTTGGGAATATTAAAATAATATTGGGAAATATTTCTGCTTTTCTTAAAATATTCATCAAGTAACATTCACATCAATAACCCACAACTTCATTGATATGTATACATATTCACAACGTTTACCATAGAAATACGAACAACTTCCGGCTTACATCGCGTATGAGAGAGCGTAAACGTAACGCGTAGGGACACCCCGGAAAAGGAATAAGTAAACTCGTGAACGGTCCGAGCGTTACTGGCGGGAAGCCGGGAAAGTGGGAACACCATCGGGAAACCACCGCCGGCGACAGGATCGTCTCCCTTCTTATTAGTCCAGTCAATATATACCATGACAAGCAAATACGACTTCACTATTACAGAGAGGTAAGCTGCCATAACTTGATTGAGTTTTCATGGCGATTCCTAATTTCTAACAAATATATAGGTAGGAACTATAATTGCTTTGGAAATGTAGAATACTGTTAATTCAAGTTAAATATAGGTGTATAACAAATATAATCGGATAGCTAATATTTGCTTTGGAAATGCAGACCACTGTTCATTCAAATTCTCGATTTTATGAATTGACAAAAGGCTGATCATAATTTCTTGGAGCGCCAAAGATGTGCTTGCAAAAACTTTTAGTTTCTAGCATGAATAAAAAGGCAAGTTTATATACATGATCGGCAGGTAATGATTAAGGTCCCGTACTTAATGTGTATGTTAGAGATAGATAAGAACACGTATGCTAGAGAGAGATTACATCCAGTTATATTGACATTTTTCAAAGCGCTGACGCTTTGCACCATGTTCTACGTCCACTAGATTTCCGAGAGCCACACCATCCTTGACGACAGCATTGACATCATACGAATACATGTATCCTTTACGCACTTTACCCTCCTATCTCTGGTCTTCGCGATTCAAATCAGAAACAGACACCTACAGAAGTGATATAATACCTGTTAATAAATCAATTCCAAATGCACATAGTTCTTCCATACTAATTAATACTTCCTTTCTAATAGGACATCTCACCTTATGATGCCAGTATAAAAAATGTGTGTCAATTTTGATGCCCTGAACTTATCGGCGCGGATTTGTACAAGATGTGTATGATAAAACTGAAATAAAAAAGGACTAGATAAATGGGTAATAGAATGAATACCGGACTATTTTGGCAGCTATTGCAAATAATATACTGAAGTGCATTCCAGAGTTTATATTCACACACTTCAATTCTTTTGTAGTGAGAAATTTAGGAAACAACCAAAAATATATGGACGTTGTAAAAAATTATGTCACCAGACTAGCATATTATCACTGCATATTACTTTTAGTTCGAAAACGCGTACGATCACAATAGTTTGTCGAGTTAGGCTTGGAATGGAACATTCATGTTTTCCAATTCAAAAATCAGAGCCGAGTCTGTAGCCGCGATAAGTGACTTTCACTGCCGATAATGACGTACACGTTTGATTAACGGTCCCGCTGTAACAAATGGGTTTCTCTCTGTACTTCTCTCGTAAACAATAAATACAGATCCTCAGTGATCATGCCGATCCTGTAAGCCAGAATAGCCCACTTATGTTATTGTTAAAAGATTCGTTGAGAATTATTCATACCTCATCTTGAAATCTATAAACCCTACTTGCATTTTATATTCTACATTATTTAGAACAGATATTTATATCATTTGAAATATTTAGTAGAAAATAATTAAACTTAATGTAGAGCAATGGAAAGGAAAGTGTACATGTATCTATGTTTTAGAGAAATTGATTACCTGTATTTATTATGCATCCAGGAACTAAGACTAAAGATATTATGAGTATTATCAGATTATACACATACATCCAACGTCAGAACTCAGCCCCTAGTTAGCAAAGTTCAATTTCTGAAGGACACGTCGAGATCTCTAAGATTTGCAACTTGCAAAACTTCCCAAAGAAATCTGTCGAGTCGTTGGACCAATATTCGTGTTAGTGTAAACTTTGCGGCGCTCGATTCATTGCCATTCATCCGAAATATGCTAAATAAGTACCTATCATAAAAATAGTTGTTTTTTGGCGCCAACATTTGATCAGATAACGTCAAAATCTAAAATACCAGTTTCCAAAACTTCCCAAGACTTCCATCGCTACCGCCTTTTGTGCTTCAAATGATTGGGTTTCTGTACGGTTTCGCTTAGCTATAACCAACCTGTTGCTTAATCTAGTTCCTTAGATAAGAGTACAATGCTTATTGCTCTCGAGTACCTATTATTAACTATATTCGTAATCACTATTTGGATAGGAGTGGCAAAGTTGCGCTGTATCATCTGGAAGTTTACCGAACTTTTATTCATGATTCCTTATATACGAGGGTTGTTCCAAAAGTAGGTTTCTCACATTTTTTCAGCCACAAGGAATTTTTTATTTGAAAAAACGAATTCACCATCGAAAACGTTGATCTTTAACCTATTTTTCTCCATGATCGCCCCTTTTTTCTACAGATTATTACCTCCTGTTCCTGGATCGTGATTCGCCGATCTTCGAGCAGGATTTGCTCAATCGTCGCCACAACTTCCTTGGAGACCGACGGCCTCCTGCTTCGTTGTTCATAGTGGATGTCTATGCGGCCATCAGAGTACTCTCGTCACCATTTGAGGACATGTTGAATGCTTATACTAGTTTTCCTATGTGCTTCACTCAAGTGGCGATGAATTTCTATGGATGGTAACATTTTTGTGTGCAACAATCGGATGACTGCTCGAAGTTTCGCACCTGGTGGTGACGGCGATGAAGACCTCCATTACGCATTGCTGTCAGGCTGGTACTGAGCATCGCAAATTGGCACTTCTTGGTGGAATTGGTGGTGGGGGAGCCGAAAAACACGTCGGGGTTGCCAGATTTCGCCTAGCATCACGCGTGGCAAAGATACAGCGTTGGGAACATCATTTTTGAGACAACCCTCGTATGCTGTTTCAGTAAAAGCCATGAGAGAAAAATGTGTTTGTTAAATTCTCACAGAAAGTCTAACCAATTAGGTTCAATTAAAAAAAAGTAATTTGCATCAACGCCTTTTTGTATTTCCAAATATCTCCTTTGTAGACCAAAAAAATAATGAGTTATTCAAAACATATTTTTTCACAAAATATGTTACATTTGTAACACGCTTTTATTAGCTTGACCTGTATGTATTTAACAACTGTTTTTCTTGCTCGATCAAGATGTTTCTATTGGAAAATCGAGAAATTAAATATAAAAAGTAAGTTCTAGTGTTGCCTTAGAGTAGTCTGCACAAGCGTACAAACAGGCAAGCACGACCAGTGGGTTTAAATAAGTTAAATCGGCTGCAAGTTTCGGCGTGAAGATCGGCGCAACGTTGCCAATATGCCGAAAACATTCACCAATTTCAAGAAGTCTAACTTGAAAAATTGCACAGTGGTCAAGGGTCGATGACAATATTTGAAAAAAATTTGGATTCGGAAATTTGGAAAATAATTTGAATATTTTGGATAAAATTTGGAAATTTTGGTGATTTCGAAATTTGAAAAAAATTGGAAGTAAATTTAGATTTCTTGTCAAATATAAAATATACAAAAATCGAAGCTCTTGATTATACAGGTAAGTACTTTTGTTATCGTTTTCAAACTGGAAATTCAGAAAATAAATTATAGTTTTGAAAACTTGAAAAACATGCTTTAATAGCAAATAGGGCTAAAAAGTAGAAAGTATCGGAAAGTTTGTGTTAGTGCAATAGAAAGTCCAAAAATCAAGTATGACTAATTAATTTGGAGTAATATCAATATAAAAATTAAGGTATTAACAAAAATTGCAGTGGAAAAGCGAGGGATGCATATTTTATACTACCTATATTTATTTACAAATATTTTTTCGGAAAAATGCAAAGCGTTCTCTCCGTTAAACTTTCACTTTTTATATGTCCGTGTTTCTTATAACTTTCATTCGAAAAAATAGATGTATTATGATAAAACATGGATATTCATCAAATATTAGTACCGAGGACTTAGGGATCATCATCATGTGTTATTATTGGCTAAGACATGGGTCCTTATACCTTTGTAGTTTTCAACTTCACATTAACTTAATAAGGCATCTGCTACACACACAAATGACGTATTTATGACTGGAATAATCAGATCTATAATGTCTGGCCTATCCACATTTAAGAGAAATTTTAATTGTAGATATATGCTCATTGTGTTGTAGTCTCGATTATAAAGTTTGGTTGATTTGGTTTTCTAATGAACTAGAACCAACTATAATAAATATATCCATGAATCTATTAAGGGAGTAAAATACAACACACTCATCAATATTCAAACGTTGAGGTACCAGGGTTCATTCGTATTGGAAAATCAGAGTCACGTTGTTTAGACTTACACTAAGGTTAGCATACTGCAAAACTAGTCGATGCTTTTAACTTTAAGATATTAAGATATATACAGGTATTTTGATAATATTACGGTTGATCTCAGCCGATAAAAGAGAAGAAAAAAGAAGCCAAGACCACTGAAGCTCTTAATTTGAATACAATATGAAATTCTGCATATAATCCTTTTTGGTCAGGTTCATTGTAATTATGAAACCGCTCGTTTTATGCCATAAACAGGGTGGCCCATCCATGTGTGGATGGAATATTACTCTTAAACACATACATTTTGGGAATATCTATTTATGGGATGTTATAAGTGACATTTGAGGGCACATTTCTAAAATATTGGCCATTATACAGGGTGTCCCAATTTCGAACTGAGGTGTGTAAGTTTTTTTTAGATACAAATTTAGTACTCCAAATTTCAAAATGGCGTATTGAAGGGTTGCCGAAGTGGATGATTTTTCTGGACAAAATACTTTACATCTCAGTAGCTAATTACCAAAACCCCATAGTATGTTATATCAATTTTCTTCTTTTGAATTGGTTTATCCAAATGTGCCATAAAATTTGAGGCATTCCATTTGATAAATCACAGCTTTGATACGTACCTAGGTCAAAATTGGGACACCCTGTATAATTGAAAATATTTTAGAAATGTGCCCTCAAATGTCATGTATAGCATGCCACAAATAGATTTTCCCAAAATGTATTTGTTTATGAGTAGTATTCCGTCCACACATGGATGGGCCACACTGTATATATATATATATATATATATATATATATATATATATATATATATATATATATATATATATATATATATATATATATATATATATATATAACTAGCTTTCTGCCCCGCTGTTTTACCCGCCGACCCTG